GCCTAAATCTTTTCAGGTATCACATGAGATTACTATGAATGAGGAAAACAAAGTAGATGAAGATGGATGTGTATTATGACTACTAAGATAAAGTATTTTTTTCTTTTGAACTGAAATTTGTTGGTCTCAGGGGCAGAGTCAGGGCACTGGGCTGGATTGTACAATATAAAAATATTTTTAAAAAAATACACTAAATTTAAAATATAGACATTTTTAAAATTTGGGGTGGGCCAGGGCCAGAGTTGCCCCCTAGCTACGTCATGTTTGGTCTGGTTTGGTCTGATCTAATTTGGTCAGATTTGTTTAGTTTAGTATGTTCTGAACTGATCTGATCTGATCTAGTAAATGTCCGGTCTTTATGTGTTTTATAACTGTCTAAATCTGGTTTGATATATTCTGTTTAAATTTGATTTGGTTTAATTTATTCTTTTTAAATCTGGTCTAATTTGACTTGTGAAACTGAAAACACTTAGGGTCTGTTTGCAATCCATTAAAAAAAGTGCTTTTAACTTTTTTTTAAGAAAAAAACACTTATTTTACCAAACACTACTAACTTTTACTTTCTCGGCTTCCGTGAAGAATCTACTTTTTACTTTTTCTATTACACAAAAAGCACTTATTTTACCAAACACTACCAACTTTTACTACTAATCACTTTTTCCCCAAAAGTGCTTTTATTTAAGCACAAGTGATTGCAAACAAAGCCTTAGAAAACATCCAAAAACGGGTGAGAAAAACAATGTAATATCTCAAAAATCGTTGGTGTATGCGGAATACCATTTGAGGGTAAGAATACCGTTTGATCGAGAGTACTGAATACCACCTCACTCACATGAAGGGCTCATTCACGGAGGCGTACTTTAATTCTTTACCCACAAATTTAGACGCGTACCCTTTGTTGCTTTCCTAGCTTAGCTACGTAGTATTTATTATCACGGCTGCACTATTTATTAGGGTCACCCAACTTATTAGTTGGACAGAAATGGAAAATCATATTATATGTAAAGAAACCAAATACGAGTATACGACACTCGTTCGAGCTCGTTTAGTCTGAATCCTCTAAACTCACGATATTACCATAATACCATTGGTGCAATACACGGAATTTGGTACAAATTACCGACTTTTCGTGTCAAATAGCTCGATCCAAAGTGTTTTGGCACCGATTTTACATAATCTCTGCTAACTCACTGTCAGGGAGTGTTTGCTATTGCTTCAACTTTAAAAAAGTGATTTTTTAAAGTGATTTTGGGAAAAGTGATTAATAATAAAAGTTGGTTGTGTTTGAGAAAAAAGTGATTCTCAAAAAGTAAAAGTTGATAGTGTTTGATAAAATAAGTACTTTTTGTGTAATAGAAAAAGTGAAAAGCAGTTTAAAGCACCTTTCTATCTGCTTCCAGCTTTTAGCTTTTAAGTGATTAATTTAAGCAGAAGCTGTCATTTGAAAACACTCTTTTCAGCTTTTTTTAATCTAAAAGCTGAAAAGCGCTTTTTTTAAGCAAACAAAAACACTCCCTCAATCCAGTGTTTTTTTGGTAGTGTAATTTAAGTAAAAACTTATACTACTTCCCTTTCATAAAGTAAGATGCATTTGAGTTTGGGATTGATTTAAAAAAAAAAAGATAACTTACTATTGCAACCTGGAAAAGGTAAAACAGCGGAAAATGAATTCACAAAAAGTAAAAGGTGAAATGATCGATAAAGGAATAAAGTGGGAAAATAAAAATCGTGGAACCCAATTTTAAAAAATGTTCATATTCTAAGGACGACCCAAAAATGAAAGTGTATCTTATAAAATGAGACGAAAAGGTATTAATCTTGCAGTTTTCCTTTTTCGTCCGTCCCAAAATAATCTGTCTTTTTTAGCAAAGAATTTGCACGTAGTTCACATTATATGTACGTCTTCCCTTTTTCTTTTCTCTGCATAGTTTTTTACCACACAATTACTAGTTTCTTAATCATTATACGCAAAGCTATTTGAGAGATTACATTGAAACCGAGGGAGTAAGTTAGAATAATCGCTATTTGAATACATATATTTGCGGTGCAAGTTTTTCGGGTTTTATATATGTCGGGTCTGTTTTCAAGAGAGAAAATTGAATGAAGATGTGAATGTATCATATCACAGCACATGCATTCGAGATTTTGATTAAGTTGCATACTTGGAACTGTTGGAAGAAATTGAATGAAGTCAATATAATACGGAGTATTGAATAGAAAATTGAGTAAATATACATTTTTAGCATTAAATACTACTCCCTCCGGTTCTTAATTAAGTTCCTAGTTTGACTTCACACATATTAAGAAATAAATTTGACTTTACTGTGGAGTGCACTGTTTGAACACTGTTTGACACTGTTTTGGTGTAAATCATTTGCCGAATAAGGAAAGATTTGAAGTAAGAACTTTAATATGGATCATCCCAAAATGTAAAGTAGGAACATAATTACGGGACGGAGGGAGTATGTTCTAGCTAGCTAGTTTAGGTGGGAAATATGCGATATTAATTTGCTCGATAGGAATAGTACACATTTTTTATTTTTTTAAAACAGTAGTGTAGGTCAGGATATTGCATTGCCAGGGTCCAGTTAAGCTTTTCCGAGTTTTTCAATAGTGGGACTTATTAGATTTTCCGTGAAACTAGCTATGCATAAGAAACAAGAAGGGGATGAAAATTGAATGGCAAGGTGATAAGGACTCATAAGGGGTAATAACCAGGTAACTGTATGAGCTACTTTAATTAATGGGCGGGGGTGGCAGTTGGAGCCTTGGAGGTTTCAATCAAAATAGAGTTAGCTGACAACGTACAACAACATAATTAGGGAAAAAGATGGACCAAAGTTGATGCCTACATTGTATTTTATTTAGGGGCAATTCGAAGTAAATTAAAGCAAACTTGCAACAATATAAACATGAAGTTTAAATTTCTAAAATAAGAGTAACAGTGTCGGCCAGCCCATGGCAAGTGCATTGGCACAAGGCCCCAAAAAATTGAGTAATACTCTGTGTTAAGTACTCCTCTATATCACTTAAGTTGTCCCGTTTTCTTTTCACGGAGTTTAAGATAATTAATGTAGACTTTATAAAAAGTAAGTGATTTTTGGTATTGTGTTTGTGGTACTATAGCTATACTGTAGTGGTACTGTAGCTGATTTTTTAGTGTATTTCTTTCCAAAGATGAAATGTGACAATTAATTTGATACACCCAAAAGAAAAGTAAGACAACTAAAGTGATACGGAGTAGTATATAAAATCCAAAGTGATTCTGCCAACCTTTTGCCATATGCCGAACAACCGATATGTGTTTAGATTGTTTAAAAATATCATTAGCAAGATTATTAAATTTTAGAAAAGTTGGAAAGTTAAATAGGAACCGAAGTTTGAGATATTGTAGGAACTGATACTAGAAGTCTAGAACTAATACAGTAAAGTTTTAGTTCAGTTTTCTGAAAGACTGAAAATTTGGAAGAAAAACATACAATTCGATTCTAATAGTCTAACCGCGAATAGGCCTCCTCAACTGGTCGTCTGGTCCTAAAACAAATCTCCCTTTTTGAGGTGCTTCAGAATTATGTTCACAATTTCTATTAAAATGAATTCTTTTCGCAACAACAACAAACATACAATTTTATTCTCTTAGCATTGAGGAAATTTCAGGGGGGAAAGGGCACTATATAAAGGGTGTTTGGAAAACCTTGTTTGGTAAGGAGAGGAGTACTATATAGGGGTGTTTGGAAAACGTTGTTTGGTAAATAATTCTTTGACCCTAGCATTTTTGGACAAAACCGTTAAATAAAACACCGTAAATAGTGCTCCCTTCGTCCCCTGTTAAATGTCCCGTTTTCATATTGGGATGTCCCTATTTAATTGTCTCATACTTTATTTGATAAAGTTTGTGTGACTCAAAATCATTCTTACTTTATTCTTACTTTATCAATTAATATCAACCACACAAACCCACGTTTCTTATAACTCATGTCACCCTCTTCCGAGACATTTAAAAGGGGACGGAGGGAGTAACATTTTGGATTAGCACTTTGAAATTTGACATCTTCTACCAATTGTTATGACTAGGCCTTGACTCAGGCCGGGCGGCCCGCCCCGGAACCGGCCCGAACCGGTTACTGTTTGAACCGGCCCGAACCGGTTACTGTTTGAACCGGCCCGAAGCGCCGGGCCAGCCAGGGACCGGTCCGAGTAGGCCCCACCCGCTAGGGTTCCGGTCCGGGCTCGAGCCCCTCAAAAGGTGAACCGGCCCGGCCGGTTCGGGCCCGGTCCGGGCCAATTTATTTTTTTTCTTTTTTTTTTTTTGAATTTTTTTAAGTTTTTGGGTTGGGCTGGGTATTTTGGGTGGTTTGGGGTGGTTTGGGAGTGAGGGGGAGGGTTGGGGGTTAATTAGGAAAAGTAAAAAAAAATATAAATTGAACCGAGGCCCGGCCCGACCCGGACCCGGGGGTTACCCGGGCCGGTTCCGGGCCTCCCCTTTCATGAACCGAGGCCCGGCCCGGCCCGGCCCGGCCCGGGTCCGAACCGGCCCGAGTCCAGGCATAGTTATGACCAAACAACTAAATGACCAAAAAACTTTTTACAACCCGACAACTTTTTCCGTTAGTCAAACCCACTGATGAGATCCGATGTTAATAGTTCGCTAACGGCTAACCACTAAATGCCAAGAACATCTATACTTCGTATCAACATACATTTTCCGAAGTACTCCCTCCGTCCCAGAAAATTCTTCCAACTTTACTTTTTGGGACGTCCCAGAAAATTCTTCCAACTTCACTTTTTTGATTATTTGTGTGTCTCACATTCATTTCACCTTTTTCTTACACAACTACAACCACACATTTCCACTTTATTCCCACTTTCTTAAACTCCGATCCAATTCAAACTTGGAAGAATTTTCTGGGACGGAGGGAGTAACTTTCAACTACAGGTTTGTTTGGTTGGGATACCTGAGTCCTGATACGTTAAGCTTGAATATATTTCATGAGGTCCTCCAAGTAAATTTTGAAATAAATTACTCCGTTATATTTTTAACAAAGCATAAATATGAAGTTTTTGTGGTTACTCAAAACATCAAATTATCAGTACATACTTATCCATTACATTTCATGGCAATACTTATATACGGAGTATTACATTTCATGGCAATCACCAACTATAAGCTTGTTTACATTAAAAAGTAAACCACAAGACCAGTAAATACAACAAACCAAGTCATGGCAATTGGCAAGAGTGAATGACCAAATTGGACGGAGATAGAACCACAATAGATGAAGAACATAAATGCGTGAAGCTAATGACACAAGGGAGATCAGTGAGCAGTCACAATGAAAGGATGCTGACAAACCCCACATTCTATGGTTTCTGAACCCGAGCTCGGAACTTGAACCTGTAAATGAACTGTACAGGTTGGGCAGGCCACCTCCTTCATCCGCCTTCCCAGTTCTGATCTGGTGGAGCCTGGAGAAACAAAGCAAGAATAAAAATGCAGGTTCACATTTCTCCCTTTTTCCTCTCTAGCTAGATATCACAATCAAAGGAAGAACAGAGTACGAAAGAGTTCATAGAAGTGTGGTATAATATCAATCCAAAGCAAATGCTTATGAAGTCATCAAATACACCAGTATAATTCATTTCTGCAGTGAAATCTTACCAGATGATATCTTGCAGTTTCTCTCCATCTCTTCCTACAAAGAAAATAAAATCATATCCGTAGTTATTAGATTTATTCGATTACAGGAGCAAAAAAATACTCTGTAGTTAGCACCTTTAATTTCTTATGGCAACCTTTAATCTTACACTTGAGATTTGAGAATATGACATACAACAAACAGGACATGTTTGTAATACAAATAAACCACCTGAAGCTTCTTAGCAAGGTCTTCATGGCTCTCCGACACAGTCGATCTACTGGCAGCTTCCTTTGCATTACTTAACCTACGTGAAACCTCAGCCTGAAAAAAAATTATGCACCTTAAAATGCATATTTCAATCTTCCTACTTATTTTATGAAAGTAGACAAAATATGCAACCTTGCATCGATCACAAACACGAACAATGGGAGAGTTCTCATCAGCTGTCAAAGCAATTCTTGCTTGCGTACACTTGTCGCAGAATATATCTCCACAATTTCGGCAGTGATGCTGAAGATATAAACCAAACATGACAGTCATTTATTTCCGCCATATAGTTGGAATGATAATGAGGGAAGGTGATCACTAAATCATGAGAATGATAGTACATGCCTTTCTATTAAAAGCGTTAAAGTCTGCACCACAAGCTGTGCACTTGGAAACAGCTTCATCAGGGACCTGTTAAATGTCAGCAGTGAAAAAAGGGAAGAGAGGTTAATACGTTATTGACTTTAATATGGGTATCCGGTGCGAAAGCACCACACACTTCTTTTTTTGTGGGGGGAGGCGGGAGTGTGTGGAAAGGCCATAGTCTCTTCCCTTGTTTTGTTTTTTCCCTGCAAGGAACTTCCCTTCTCATAAGAATATAAAACCATATTTAATGAAAATGTCAAGGATATGTTTGGGACCGGGAAATGATACCGAAGGAAAAAGTGTAACCGCAAATAGTTTTTAATGTTTAGCTTTACCTTGGAAAATACAGAGTAACATCAGATTTTGTTAAACCTTTTCAAACTTTCCCCACGTTTATTGAAGACTGGAAAACTTTTCTTGAAGACTAGAAAACTTTCTAGTCTTCATGAAAAGGTTTTCAAACTTTTCCCCACGTTTTCTTGATGCCCCATTATTATTTGGTTTTCCTTCTAAGTAATCAAATGTGAGGTTGATATTGTTTCAATCCTTTGTAAATAAACCTCAAACACAATATTTTTTTCATGTGCCAGGTCAAAGTGGGAATAAATTTTATTGAACAAATATCTAAAACTGATTTATTGAACTTGAACCAATCTCTTGTTTCTTCCAAAAAGAATTCCTTCCATATTTCTCTTTTTTTCCCAGTTTTTTTTCCCTGATCATTTCCGAGTTCCAAACAGACCTGAATAGAGAAGTGGTGTGATAAAAAATGGAGGAAAGGCAACTAAATCTGCACAAGTTGGTGTGGAAATGGATTAGATTATTGATCACAGTTAAAACTACTACAAATCATATCATGAGAACAATAACAGGTGTGGAAGAAAATCCGAAAAGAATAGATGATCTAGTTACCCAATGATCTTTCTCCTCATTTACAGGCTTCATAACATTTAGCCAATCCCCTAGACCTTTTTTCTTTTCACCAGACTGTTCAGCCACCTTGTGAGATTCAGCCGGTCTACTTCTTCCACCAATCTCTTTAAACTGCATTACCAAAAATATAAGATTAAAAAAAAAATGAAAAGTACTCAACTAAGTACATAGGATAGCATGCATTGCAATTTGCAACCCAAAAAAACAGGTAAACTTCGCACATATTCAAGGAGATCAATTCACAAGTAGATTATTTTTCTAATCATTTCTATTCATGATCATGTAAGGTGCAATTTGGTTTACTCAACTCAATCAGAGTACAAGCTTTACAAAGTGAGGAATGGTCATTAGTATGTAGTATTCAATAGGGCTGGGCTGTTAAAGAACCGAGCTTTTATCGAACTATTAGAGTTCGAGCTCGATTTCGAGCCTAATGAGCCGAGCTTAATGAGCTATCAAACTCGAACCCAAGCTAAGTTTTAAATTCGAACAATTAATCGAGCCGAGCTCGAACATAGTAGTATTAGCTCGAACAACGCCCTGAAATTATAAATATAATTTATATACTCCGTATATGTCAAATCTTAAATGTAATTAATATGATTTTATGAACTTAAATATGATCATTAACGAACCGAATACTTGTCGAATAATTCGAGCACGAGCTTATTAACAAGCATCACTTAAAATTTTAAATTCGAGCATATTTATCGAGCTTATCAAGCACTCAGTTCGAACATCGAACATCTATCGAGCCGAACACAAGCCTCATTTGTAAAGTCCGCCGAGCTTCGAGCTCGAAGCCGAACACCACTATTACGGATTCGAGCCGTAGTCAAGCTCTGGGTGTTTGAGCTCGGCTCGTTAACAGACTTTACTATCCCAAAGACTATTTATGGACCTTTTTTACAGAAAGAATGGTTTCGAAACAAGACTTTTGGGGACACAGGGAGTGATAACTAAAATGAAACAAGTGCTAATTTACATGAATCAAATATATCTAATTGTTTGAATAAAAATTAGGGAAAACGGTATACTAATTTGAACTATTGTCGCCCGCTCAAATAAACCCTTGCTATCTATTAACTCACATTATTCCCAATTATTGGGGTCCTTTCCATAAACACTCTCTCTCTACTTATGAACTAAACAGCCTGTGAACTGCAAAGGAAATAAACACCAGCGAAAGAATGTGATCAGCAAAACACGGTGAAAACAAACTTCTAATTGGCTTATTGCCTCTCACCTCAAAATCTCAGATACAGTTAATCTATGTCAAATTCCAAAAACTTATATCTTCTTGAGAGCAAGTCCCCCATTGAATTCAGAAAATATAATTAAATAAATAATGAACATCAAGTAAAAGAAGTAAAGATGCAAGTGCATAAATGATGAATAATAGATCATCTTTTATGTAGTTATTCCTTACCTGAATAGTGGCAGCTGTTACTGTGTCTAAGAGGGTAGTGGTGGTATAACTATTTGACTTCAGTCTGATACGTCTTGGTTCAATGTCAACAGTGCTTTTTGACCAAAAGGCCATGGTAGATGAATCGAACACCTATAACAGGATAAAATGCAACAAATTAACTGATTTAACAGAGTAAATGAAACTAGAGCCAACAAAATAACAGTTGCCAAGTAGTTAACAAGAAAACAGACTTCTACCCCATGCTATCTTTTTCCCAGTAGAATAAAAACAGGGAGATGAACTTACTTCACATCCAGTAATTGTATCAAGAGGGTAAATCCTCAATGTCCGGCTGGTGCTTGGGTCCAGCATACGAATTCCATCCAACCCAATCTGTATGATATCACACATTACAATCCCACATTAAAATGCTTCTCTTGCCACATATTATGAAATAATTAGTCTCAATTCAAGCTCCACGATTATCTAAGAAAATAACTAAATTCTATCAAAAGACAATCTTTTGCCCGTTCTTTTACTGAATAACACACCCCCAATATAATTGACCATTTCCCTAGCTTTTGTAGTTACTCATTCCCACAGGAATAACTTCTTACACCCACAGACCAAAGCAGTGGTAAAACAATAGTGAGACACCCAGCACATGCAATGAGCTAATAAAATCTTAATTGAACTACAGAGTATAGACTAGCTAATAAAATGTTCACTCAAATACTTTACAGTCCTACTTTTTAAAAATTCTAGGTAAGGAAAACTGAGAGGAAAGTATAAGAAAAGAATACGATTATATGATACCTAAACATAGAAAAACAGTTACAGTATTTCATTTCTCCTAGATTTTCAATGGTGAAACAAACCCAACGAAATAGGGAGTAACTTTCCTTCAGCATTTTTTCCCTTTCTTAAGCATTTCCAGAACCGAAACATACCTGACAAAGAACATCTTGGGTGTTCTGACCACCGCTTTCCGCCAGCAGCTTAACTCTGAACTTCTGCACTCCAGCATTGGCATCGTGCTGTGTCTCTGCTTTAGGAACAGCTCGGACAGTCTTTGTGGTCAATCCCAAAGGCCGATTCTTTTCCGAAGAATGTCCAATTGGCCTCCCGAAGTCATCGAAACTAGACCAAGTTGACGACCCCGGGGCCGTACCTCGAGCCCCGTATGGTTCAGCCTTACTACCCTTATAAGCATACACTCCATCACCATCGTCTTCAATCCCATATTGTCTCTCAGGTCGTTTTCCATAGTGATGTCCCAATTCAGCTCTACCAGACCCGTAACTGCCATATCTACCCGCAGTTTCATCCACATATCCTCTAGGTTGATCGAATTTGATGATATTATTATACATTACTTCTTGTTCAGAACTTAGTTGATTATTATACTGGGACGGGTAGATTGAGGGATACGAACTATTAGGCGTTTGACTTTGGATTGGGGGAACGTAGCTCGGGGTTTGATCGTAAAGTGGATATAAGGATTTTGGTTGGGAAGGGGGTTGGTAGTCTCCGGAAGCTTCATATCGCGGAAATGTAGCGGGTGGCTGAGCTTGTTGAGGCTGAGGAGGAGGAGGCTGTGGATTGTATGATTGGAAGTTCGGAGAAGGAGTAGTTGGGATTGCATCTGGATGTTGAGGATGAGGTGGGTAAGAAGACGAATAAGAATAGTAATCGGAAGCTGGAGGGTATCCGGCAGCGAAGGGTGGAGCGGATGCATAGGACGACTGTTGTGGTGGTGGCGGTGGATGATGATGATGATGATCGAGGAAATTGGGAGTGGAGGTTGGGACATGATTGGGATTTGGGGGATACTGGGTGTAGGGAATGGAGTTGTAATCGCTTTGTTGCATTGTTGCGTAAGAGGAAGCGCCGGCGACGGTGCCGGAGCTCAAAGCGGAATTCAACGATTTGGTCGCCGATCGGAATCAGAAATGCAAATTTGGGATGATCGGAGACTGGTAAAAGACTGTGCGTGGATTGTGAATACTTTAAAGCAGAGCCCATTCCACAATTTCTAAAGCAGAGCCCATTATAATTCCAATGCCCAAAAGTCATTAAAGCCCAACTATTATTCATTCAGGATTCAGATATAAGCTCTAATGGATATGGGGAATGGATATCGGATATATACACAGCGAATAGAATAAAGATCCAGGCCCGATACTTAGCAAAGCAACCGACATATCAAATCAGTCCATCACCACCTAATACACACCTTTATCCTTAATGTGATGTGCAAGAGGCTCAGCCCAAGACCCAGCAGTAAGGCCCGTCTACAACTGAAAATAGGATAATTTTATTCGCAGTCCCCTATTTATTAAACATACACACAAAATTTCGGATAAGATAACCTATTTTTTATAATCCCTATTATGCCCCATTGCCCATGGAGCCTCAATCTAGTCTCTTTTGAGTGTAGTCTCTCATTTTGGAATTTCTACTCACATATCGATGGTTTGAACTTTCCAGAACGAGAGAGAAGTTGTATGGCATCTTATCTCATTTTTTGTCTAACCAGACAGTCAAAAAGGGTCAAGCGGACATAAAAAAGGTGAAAACAGCATCATGGGCGTCCAATTATATGCATTTAAAAAGGGTGAAGATGGCGGGTGGGCGTTGTGAAACAATTATTATTTTTGTTTATTGTTCAAATATCTCGAATAGAATTGTAGAATGCAAAAAGGATAAGGAGAGGGTGAGATCAAGAAACTAAGTGTTAATTATACATATTCTCTAGGATATGTTTAGCAACACAGTTGAAATAATGAAGGGAAAATGTAAAATTATCATAAAAAATATAGGCTAAAGGATCCAAAAAGCCCTTGAACTAGCTTAAATTGTTCAATTTCCGGTGAAATATTTTGATGAAATTTTTTGAGCATCTTCTTCATTAAGTCTTGTTTACCCATATCAGATTTCAGCTAAAAATTTATATCGGGAAGGCAGTCAAATGATTTTTCGAAAGGTACTGCGATGTTTAATTGCGCAGTTATCTTCAAAAAAATCAATTGACTGCCTTCCTAGTTGAATTTTTAGCTGAAATTTGGTATGAGTAAACTAGACTTAATGAAAAAGATGCTCAAAAAAATTCATCAAAAAATTCTACTGGGAACCGCACCAATTTGAGACGTCCGGGCAGAACCTCTTATATAAGGGGCTAATTGAACACTTTAAGCTAGTTCAAGGGCCTATTTGGCCTTTTAGCCTAAAAATATATTTTTAATATAAATAAAACAAAATTTGACTAACGAGAAGATAAATTCGACATAAACTTGCAGGGCCGTCTAATGAATTTGGTGACAACGGTTCCAAATGGCGAATTGAGGCTCCATAAAATAAGAAAAAATTGCAAAATTTAATAATGATATACAAATAGAATATACAGTTCAATGAAATATATGGTTTATAATGTTTAAAATACACCAATTAGATAATAATAAAGTTATACACCTTTTGGATCTAGAATAATGCAGGGTATATGACATCTAGAAAAATCAGCATATAACTACTAATACATACTTCCTTCGTTCTTTTTTAGTTGCAATATTCCCTTTTTCACGTTTGCCAAAGCACAACTTTCACCAATATTATATTTAATTTTGTATTAGTAAAAAATAATTAAAAATTAGACTATGAAACTTAGTAATGAGACAAATTCAACAATATTTTTCAAAAAATAATCTACACACATTGATAAATAAAATGTAGTCAAAGTAGATTACATGAATAGTGTATAAATTGCAATGTTGCAACTAATGTGATACGGAGTATAGTACTAATTTTTTTGGGGGGGGCATATAAAAGTGAGTCTCGATATCAAACACATGTTGCACCTCCTAAAAGTCATTTCACTATAAACTTACGATAAATTAAAGAGTTGAACTGAATGACTACAGTTGATAACGTTTCGAATCAAGTGATTGATTTTAGATTCAATTTATATCAAGTCTTTATCCAAACAAAGTTGTAAATTATTTGTCTATCTATCAAATTTCAGCTCATTTTGAACTGAAATGAGCATTCAAACATTATTATAGTCACGTCTTTCTTTACCTTTATTTGCTCCCGTGTGACAGCATCCACATATTAAACCTTTTGTGTAACATCAATTATTTGTCGAATGAGGTTCACTCACTAGTCATTTTTATGGGGGGAAATGAAAAATGCTTGATTATTCTCATGAATTGAATGTTGGGCTACTCATCTTAAGCAAATTAGAAAGGGTTAAGTTATTATTATTATCACTAATTAAACTTTTCTAGTATGCTTAGAGAAGTACTACGTAGTATTATTTGTCAATTATCACATTGATAGAGAATATTCCTCCAAACCATCATAGTCCAGGCATAAGGTCTGGGATTTTCACTTATTTGATTTTCACGATAAAATACTATGTCTGTTCTCATTTATTTATTTACTCGGGACAATTGTTCCATCACACATAATGATGCAAGGCATCCAAAATATGAGGAAATTTTTGCAAAACATTTCACATAATATCTCACAAGAAATAAATTATACTCCGTACGTACTACCAGTGAAATGAGGAATCATATATTTGCTCATATGAAGAAGAAGACTAAACAAATAGCATCTTAGACTAAATATTGCAATAACGTATTAACGTATTCCACAAATTCGATCAATGTAGCTAGTAGTTCACATTCAACTTACACCATTTGTAGTGGTGTAGGATTAGCAGTCCAAAATGTTTAAGCATTATGAGTTAAACAGGGGTTAAAATGAAAAAAAATGGATAGAAGAGGTTAAAATAACATGGGAAAATAGAGGATGAGTTGACATGGGAAAGAAAAAGAAAAAGAAAAGAAAAGAAAGGAAGGCTAGGATGACTAGTTTGGTGTTGGGTGTGGATGACGACGTCAGGCTTGCATCATAATACCCCAATTTTTAAAAGCTTTATAACTTTTTTATTTGTTATCCAAATTTCTCAAAAAATATATCAACATTTATAATTTTTTATGATCTATCATACGACACCAATTTTACATATAAAAAACGTAAAAAATATATATGTGAAGATTTAACTGTTAGATTCTTCTTGGGCCCCAAAAAACACGAAACACGAATTTTAAATCCATGAAGCTTGCAAAAATAACTGAATATGACATGAACTCAATTTTTTTTATTAAGAATGAAAAAACTTAAAAAAATAATACATAACGATATTCTTTTTATTTTTCAAGATACATACGTATTATATAACAATAAATTTAAGAGACTAGAGCAATAAATTGCTTGAACTCGGTTCATTTTTAATTTTCAAGATACATATACACTAATTACTTGAACTCAGTTCATCTTTTGTTAACCGAAAAACTTTATAAAAAGTTAATGAAAATGAAATTTATGTTTTTTACATCGAAATGCGTATTTTTTATTTCATAATTATTAAGGGGGGGAATTAAATGAAAAACATTACTTATGATAATTTAATTAATGTTATACTAAATTGATATGTAAAAAGATATGTTGAGTGTATTTTATTGACAGTGCTGAAATGCAGAAAAATATGAGTCTATACACTGTTTTCAAGTAGACGGAGTCCATTTTTTACACTTTGGCCTCTCCACCACTACAAATCGTCTTACAGCTTGTCTCAAGCAAAGAGAATCTACCTAACTACATTGATATGTAAGCAATCATATCAAAATCCTCGTCACACGTATCATAATTAGTTATGTTTTACAAAAATGATTATAATAATCTGTATCGGAAAAGAGAGAGAAAAACAGGTAAAAACACATAAGATGTGTTTGAAATGTGAAATTTGATAATAAAAAACAAAGAAAATGATATTGCAGGTCAAAAGGGATAAGAAAAAATCGGCACTCATGGGTTAATTGTCGAAGCCCAAAAACAGATCGAAACTATGTATTTGCGGTTAGGAATAAACTGATGCCAGACCTAGGACCAAATTAAACTCAGAGCTAGGCAGAAAGATTTTTTACGTCAGGCCCATCACGTGACTAACGCCGGACCCGCTGATTTTGTGAGCAAGCTCGGTTGAAATAGGCGTCGGGCTCATCAATCTAACGCCGAAGATGTCCAAATCTGCAAACAAAAATTGACGTGTTAGATATTCTTGAACATGGAACTTATATTGAACTGTAATAAACATTTAGGTGAATCCTTATGCCTTCGAAATTCCATCATATCCATACACTCAACAACAGGAATCTATGTACTTTACATCACTTCTGTACTTGAATTCTCAAAACTCGAATTTATAAACCAAACGAATCTTTGTGGGTCGACTCTGTATTTTGCTTGTATTTATTACTTCAATTAGCATAGTATACTTGCAAGTTAAGCTCGATCATACGCTCATGGTGTAGCACCACTTGCAATGAAGGTAATTTCACTCTTACGCACCACAACCTAATCCACTTATAATAGTTGCATTCACCTAGTTATAATCACTTAGTTAAAACCATGGGAGATATATTAATATTTGTGACTATATTTTGTGGCAAAAAGCAGGAGAGAGTAATAAGAGTTAATGTTGGACTTGGAATGAATCAATGAGTCCTAAACTCATGGGTAAGAGACCCCTAGCTACTTGTTTGGACTCTCTTCCTGGTGTGTCATGCATGGAGGGTGGGTATGAATTCTCTTCTCTTTTTATGATCAAAGGTTGTAACCATCATAGAGAATAGAAGAAGAGGGAAAGAGAGAGGTCTCGGCCTTACAAGAGAAAGGGGGGAAGGTTAAACATTTTTAATGTTTATAGCCTCATGGAATGTAAGGGGGCTTAACCAAGCCTCAAAACAAAACATCATGGCTAACTTTTGCCAATTAGAAACTAAAATGTCTTCTACAACTTTTGATAGTTTTATGAACTTTAGATTTCATTCTTGGATGTTTATTACTAGCTTTGATTGAATGAGTGGGACCGTATGACTATTATATGGTATCCTTGTTTTGTGGATGGTGTTGTCTTGCAAGTGGAT